GAAAATTGAGACCTGCGTTCTACGGAACAGCAAGCAATGGATTATTTTAAAGTTACGGGATCTTACCATAAAAAAGTCCACATTCATTAATGGACATAATACGGTTAGCTGAATATGGCCTGACAAAACAGTAATAGATTGGAATAATTACTTGCTGGAAGTTCGCTTTCATATTGTTCTAAACAGAGATTCTGATAAAACCGGAGGGCTAACAAAATAGTAGAAATCGATGAACTCAACGAAACTCAAAAACTCACTTTTACGAAACTCAAAAATGAAGCGGCACTGATTGTTTATTTTTAATGATCAATACTCATTGTTTGTTTCTAATTACTAAGGACTCAGTTCCTTCAAAATTCTGCTGGAACGACAGCAGCAACGGCTAATCTTTGGAATATGGTAACAGGTAGTTTGGCGACATTTTGGTAAGGCGATAAAGGTTACTAGCTAGGACTTTAGCAGTGTACATAGATAGAGTCAAGAGTGTGCGCAATGCCATTTTTGTGAAATTCTGGGATGTTTTTTTAAGTGAAAATAGGTCTACGTGTACATGGAAGATACCGTGTATGTGCAATTCTTAAAAATGCGGCAAGCAGTGGGCGATTCTGCACTTTTTCCCAATTTCGCACCTAATTTTCTTCATGATTAAGCACTTTTTGTTCCATAAAAGTTCTAGCATAAGCGTAATTCGGCTAGCAGATTGTTGGAAAAAAATGTTGAGTAAAAAAAAAACATGCTTAATTCGTGAAAACAAAATGGCGTCCAAACAAAAGCTAGCAGGTTGCTGTAGCAAGGTTGGTCGCCAAAAAATTGCCAAGTTACCATAATCCAAAGATTAACCGCAGCAACTTTGGGGAGATCTACGCTAAATTTCACGGTACAATAGTAGTAAACTTTTGCAGCCAACGGGATAATACGTCAGTACCAGTGAAAATAAAAAAAGTTGTAATTCGTAAATTTACTCCAGTTGCCTTTAGCATTCAATTCCCATTTAAAAAAAAAAAAAAAAAAAACTAATATTCGCGAAATTTTAGAAAATTCCCCACAATTCACGAAGATAATCTTGAAAATTCGAGCCATGACGAAGTTACAGCCTTAATTATATAAGCGTTTTAATTCAGTAGCAATCACGATTAACGATCCCGAGAGCCAGTCAGACCCTCGCACCAGGAAACAGTTGAAATATCAGAAACTGTTGCATGGAAGCTCTTTTGCAATAGCGGTACGGTATTTGATTAGAACGTACCAGACCCACAGTTGAATCCTAAGGCCGTTTACAATCTTCATGGGTATCGCAAACTCAAGGAACTGCAGCACTTCTCATCAGTGCTAATAGATGGAGACACGAGTAAACAGCTGCACACGAAACGTACCAAGCGTGCATACTGCCACCTGATCGCCACAGTAACTTATCTATAACTCTACACGTAGTCTCATGCTTCATTTGTTTAAGGCAGAAAGACTTAGAGGGTGCAAAACAAGACAACTGCCTACACGTCTGTTTAAATAGAGGACTTAGACATGGATTTCCAAGAACAAAGATGATCAGTATATGGTAGATAACTTTATGAAAACATTTTTAGGAGGTAGAAAATTCTCTTAGTATAAATTTATTTTTACATAGTTCAGAGGCAGAAAAAATGTTTACAATTCATTACACTTTGGTTTAAATATAAGCAGGTTTCCTATACTTACAGGCAAAATTCGCAGAGGTATGACAAATCAATTTTTTTTTCACTTGACGAGCTATAATATAACAGTGCCTTTTCTCCCATTCGGAGATATTAATCATCAAAACAAGCAATATTTGTTTAATAAATTATTCACTAAATTGAGGGTAAATGCAAAATGTTTACCTGCAATTGGTACTGAATAATGATAGGAATCTTCAAATTCATTCTTGAGTTTTGCAAGTCAATGCATTTATTTAGTCAATAGCCATATACAGTCATGTCCATAAATTAAGGATAATGCAAAATCAGGCAAAGGAAGAGTTAGAAGCAAAACAAATTTGACTTATTTATAAAGCTTATTTATTAAACAAAAGGTAAAGAGCAAAAAAAGATGCTATATGTTTGATATTATTAAAACAATTAGCGATTTTTTCTCCCTGGAGCAAATTACAAAACAAAAACCTATTTACAAAAAAAAAAAAAAAAAAAAAAAAAAAAAAAACTAATATTGCATGGTTGGTATGATTGTTAATACATTGTATGTCTCCCAGACGATGCAATAGAGTCCGTACAACGCCCAGGCATGCTGAGTATCAAATCATCGATCTGATCTTGGGGGATATTACACCACTCAAAAAACAATGCTCTCCGAAGTTCCGGTACACATGAAGGTTGACGGGCTGCGTCGCCCAAGCATGTCCCACACGTGGTTTACTGGATTCAAGTCCGGCGAGAATCCTGGCCAGTCCATACGGGTGATATCCTCCGATTGAAGGCATTCGCTTACGATGTTTGCATGGTGAGGACGGGCGCTGGCATCCATAAACACAAATTGTGCGCCCATGGCGCCCCGAAACAAACGTACATGTTGTTCCAAAATGACGTCCCGATAGACTTGGCTTGTCATGATTCTAATTTGAACATGCAGGTCAGTTCTGGAACCCAGAATAATTCCACCCCAAACGAGCACTCCTGCACCACCGTAACGGTGTCGTTCAATGATGTTTTCTTGGTGGTAACGGATACCTGGAGCTCTCCATATGAAAGTCCGGCGAGAATCATACTGCGAGCTAAACCTGGACCCGTCGGAAAACATCACACAAGCCCACTGTCCACAATGCATGCTCTCTACTCCAGGCTAACCGCAGGCGACAGTGAGTTGCAGTAAATGGAACGCATCTGACAGGTCTACGAGCATATAGACCAATCTGCCCTAAGCGTCTGTACACGGTCTGCCTTGAAATTGTCGTACTAGTGGCTGAAGACAGCTGGCGAGACAGGTCTGAGGCTGTGCTCCGCCTGTTTCTTTTGGCAGTAACTGCCAAATACCGGTCCTCATTCGGCGTTGTATCTCTGGGGCGACCTGTACTGTAACGTCTACTCACATTACCATCATCTTCGAATCGTTGCCAAAGCCTGGAGATAACACTCTGGGCAATTCCAAGTTCGTCTGATACTTCCAGTTGGGTACGCCCACATTCCAGACGGCCGATAATTCTACCACGTAAAAAATCATCCAAATGTATCTTTTGTGTCATAACTATTCGGTTATTACACTGAAATGCTTATAAAGCGCCTGCGAACAATTTTACTTCTTTGACTGTATTCCTTATATATCACTCTCTTACACTCTCGTCATTGTGACGTACCATCGGTGTCATCTGGTTACTTCCTGAAATTTGCATGTGATTCTTAAAGATCTGTGTAGTGATTTTACAGGTGATATATTTATTTTAGAGTTCGATTTCCGCGTGACTCCGAATTATCCTTAATTTATGGACATGAGTGTATTTAACTTATTAAAGGACTTCTTTCCCAACACAAAAATCTTCTCAATATATTTAGGTTGTACAGAAATGAATGACACATTTGCTGCCATAGAGCGAAATACAATTTATTAACAAATAACTGATAGTACATCAGTTATAAATAATCCCCGCCCATGTCAATACACTTCTGCTATCTGGCTGGGATGTCCCGAAGGGCTTTGGTAAACCAGTCTGTAGGGGTGTTGGTGCACCACCTATGGACAATTGCATGCGATTTGGCAGACGATTCAACATATTGGGCCCTGACTGTGTCCTTCACGTTGTCAAGCAAGGCGTAGTCCCAGATCTTGGTTCGAGGTCCGAGGTCCATCCAGTTTGCACTCACCTTTGTTATCTCCAAATCATCATGCACGTTCGCCTGAAATGTTACTTGCGCGAGCCCTGTCTCTTTCTGCATTTTGTTGAATGTTATGCGCCTGTTCGCCATTATCAAATCCGACAAGGCTGCCACATTTGCTGGTCGCAATGTTGCTGGTCATCCCGAGCTGACACCTTTGGCTGTGGTCTCCACTCCACTGCTGAACTTGGCCAACCAAACGGGATACGGTACGCCTCGAGGGTGCTTTGTTCCCGCACACCAACACCATGCGACGATGGATCACACTGCTCTATATCCCTTCCTTCCATGGGAACCACGCTGTCCAAGGCTGACCGTGATAATCACCTTCCATCATTGCTGTCCATGTTCTCAATGACGACGGCGAAAGGGACGGGCGCTGACGTTCGCTTGCGGCCAGCTCTATCTATGCATTCTGAGTAACACACGCCCCCTTGTGTCTATTTAACTTGTTTTCCCTTCGCATACTGCAATAGTTTCGTTGTGAGAGCCATTGTGTTAATTATGTCTGTACGATCCAAGTATGTTCACATCCCAACATAGCTTCCTCAGGAAGTCCTGATTACAGCTCTTCGACAGAGTAGGAGGATATTGCAAGGATTTAAAATCCTACGTACTATCTTGCAGGTAGTCGCTATGAGAGAGCAAAGAATGTTTGTAAGAATTTATGATGTCCTACTTGCGGCATCCTGAGGATATCTTCAGGATCACTTTACAGTGTCTTACTACGCTTGTTAATTTTAGGTTTTTAAATTTGAATTCTCACTTTGTTTAATAGTTCTTAAATAAATCTTCAATACAAAATGTAGCCGAAGAAAATTTTGCTTTTGTTTTAAACTACTATTTCAAATATTTACTATTTTACTAATTGGAATTTTTAAGACCACATCAATAGTCAGATTTATTTATTTTATTTGCAGTACTATTTTACCAGCGGCGCTGAAATGGTTTTAATTCTCAAAGTTATTTTGCAAAATTCTGTAGCTGTAAATACATTACGAAAAATAAATACAGCTTGTAAATACATAAATTGAATATATCCCGCATATGTAGATATTCATGTCTTAGAAAGTCTGAAAATTTACATAATATTTTCTCGAAATTTTAAATTTCTGCACTAAATTATTTTCTTGTATATAACGTTATGAATGAGCAACGTACCCGTATGACTTCTGGGCATGCGTAGTGAGGCGAGCCACACGATGTTTCTAACATGGATCCATCCATCTGAAGAGAAGCCATTCCGAAATCTGCTATCCGAATATTATTCTTCTCGTCAAGGAGGAGGTTTTCTGGTTTCAAATCCCGATGACTAGAAAGAAAAAAAATAAATAAGTAAAGAAATTATTTGATACATAATCACATAAAAGTGAAAGCTACGACATTATTAAACTGCAAAAGAACTGAAACACTTAGTGTACATATTGTTACGAAATGTACAGGCGCGGTAAGATGGCTTCCCCGCAAAGTAGTTTTAGGGTTGCCATAAATGGCAAAGGAGATCAGAATTGCCACATTTGGCGAGAAATCGCACATTTGGCGACATAATTGGCGACAAAATTGTCGATATACGATGGACGGTTGCAGAACCTACTGGAACGAATTCTTACCGGTTTAGCCCAGAATGTTCCCGAACACAAGCCGAAAGCTACACTCATGTCTATAAATTAAAGATAATGCAAAATCAGGCAAAGGAAGAGTTAGAAGCAAAACAAATTTGACTTATTTTTAAAGCTTATTTATTAAGCAAAAGGTAAAGAGCAAAAAAATGATGCTATATGTTTGATATTATTAAAAAAATTAGCGATTTTTTCTCCCTGGAGCAAATTACAAAACAAACTTTAAAAAAACAATATTACATGGTTGGTATGATTTTTAATACATTGTATGTCTCCCAGACGATGTAATACAGTTCGTACAACGCCTAGGCATGCTGAGTATCAATTTATCGATCTGATCTTGGGGAATATTACACCACTCAAAAAGGAAAGCTCTCCGAAGTTCCGGTAGACATGTAGGAGGAGGTTGACGGGCTGTAACTCGTCGGACAAGCATATCCCACACGTACTCTACTGGATTTAAGTCCGGTGAGAATGCTGGCCAGTCCGTACGGGTGATATCCTCCGATTGAAGGCATTCGCTTGCGATGTTTGCACGGTGAGGACGGGTGTTGTCATCCATAAACACAAATTGTGCGCCCATGGCGCCCCGAAACAAACGTACATGTTGTTCCAGAATGACGTCCCGATAGATTTGGCTTGTCATGGTTCCAATTTGAACATGCAGGTCAGTTCTGGAACCCAGAATTTCCACCCCCAAACGAGGGCACCACCGTAACGGGTCGTTCAATGATTTTTCTTGGTGTAACGGGTACCTGGAGCTCTCCATATGAAAGTCCGGCGAGAATGAGACTGCAGCTAAACCTGGACCCGTGGAAACATCACACAAGCCCACTGTTGGCGGTGTCCACAATGATGCTCTCTACTCCAGGCTAACGCAGGCGACAGTGAGTTGCAGTAAGTGGAACGCATCTGACAGGTCTACGAGCATATAGACCAATCTGCCTAAGCGTCTGTACCGTTGCCTTAAATTGTCGTACCAGTGGCTGAAGAGAGCTGACAGACAGGTCTGAGGCTGTGCTCCGCCTGTTTTTTGCAGTAAATGCCAATACCGGTCCTCATTCGGCGTGTACTCTGGGGCGACCTGTGCTGTAACGTCTACTCACATTACTATCATCTTGGAATTGTTGCCAAATCTTGGAAATGGCACTCTGGGCAATTCCAAGTCGTCTGATACTTTCCAGTTGGGTACGCCCACATTCCAGACGGCCGATAATTCTACGAAAAAATCGTCCAAGCGTCCTTTGTGTCATAACTATTCGGTTATTGCACTGAAATGCTTGTAAAGCGCCTGCCATTACCAATTTTACTTTCTTTGCCTTATTCCTTATATTCACTCACACTCGTCATTGGGACACATCGGTGTCATCTGGTTAATTCCTGATTTGCATATGATTCTTGAAGATTTTGATTTACAGGTGATATATTTATTTTAGAGTTCGATTTCCGGTGACTCCGAATATCCTTAATTATGGACTGAGTGTATAAACCTGAGGTCCGCAGTCAGTTAGTGTGTGTCCTCTCTAGCGAGCTGATAGTCAGTCATTGAGCGAGTGTCTCGAAGTCTAGCGCCGATTTGGTCGTCGAGTGCATCGAGAGAGTCTTTTAGTATATCGTCGAGTTTTGTCTTGGACCGTGCTGAGTCGAGAGCTATACTCTTGTGTATCGTCGAGTGCATCGCGTGGAGAGTCTCAAGAGTACGTGGAGTTCCGAGAACGACCAAGCAGAGTCGGGAACGGTACTCGAGTGCTTTGCAGTGCAGCTGTCTCCACCGTTATTGCCTGACAGTGTGAAGGCTGTGTCACTGATTGTTTGAACGTGTTTATAGTAGATCTCTGACGACTGTAAAAAGTGTTATTGGAGCTATCCTGAATAACATTTTATAAATAATGTGTGTTTCGATACTTCATCAAGTGTCGTCGTTATTCACTCCAAATCCACGAACCCCGTACGAACTTGAACGAAGAAAATAACGCAACAATATGGTACCCCAAGTTTCAGGCCAGCAAATCATGGCCAGATTGGAATCTTGAATGATTCTGAATATTATCAGGAGCAGTGATAATACTCAGAATCATTCAAGTGTGAAGTTTAAATGTCAGTGTGAAGTTTAAATGTTCAGGTGTATTGTGCTGTTAAGTTACGTTACGTACAAGTGCATGGGCCGTAGTTAATCACACTTTTCTGACCTAATGAGAATAATCCCACAAATGTTATCGCGGCAAGGAGTGTTAAAACTACGTCTGGCGTTGACATGAGGCTTGAGCACCATATAGGTGGCACTACGACTTTCCCCCGCAATTTTGAAGGTGAGAATCCCAGGGGACAGGTCCGTTGGTCTCCCACCCCTTTTTACCAACGAATAAACTCCTAGAGAGCACTTTCGGCTCGCCATATGTTTTGAGCGTCCCTTGCGCCTAGATGCATTTAAAAGTAACCAAGCCTTCCCCGGCATTCGAACTCGGACTCTTCGGTAAGGCACTGATGATGGCATCACTAATCACTGGTCGTTTCAGCTATATTAGAAGTACCGACTTCAAATATCAACAATTATAGGATGAAAATAGAAGATATATGTAGAATTTAAAAGAAGATAAATTGGTTAATGCCTGAAGAATAGTGTACTTTACCGAAATACCAAAACAGCAGATCCTTCTCATGAGTGCTACAACCCTAAAATCGTGCGCAACGTTGTCCAACTGGAATAACTGCCGTTATTAACGCTGTTCAACTGGAATAACTGCCGTTATTATATTTTCGTTATCCGTAAGTACCATACATAGATCAAAAAGATTTCGCTCTTGCGATATAAAATGTCTTTTGTAATAAATTCCTCTTGCATACATGCCCTGAAATACTAGTTGAATAAAACTGAACGTTTTTTACTGAATCTTTTGTGTCCATTTTTGACTGCTTTCTGAATGAAATGCTAATAGCTTGGTCTAATGTGTTTATAGATGAATATGAATATTATTTTGTTAAATATTTGACCAAAGAAAATCTTATCCGCTTGTATCATAGGTTTGTTTTTTTCTTCCCTTTCTACAGTGAAAGAATGGGTAAAACAATTTCTCGTGTGCTAAGAACTTATGGAAGATGACTAATGCGAACATCCATCATCGAAGACATTGACATCAGAAAATACTGCTTGTGTCAAGGGCGGAATATTTAGGGAGAGATTAAAAGCCAAACACAGTCAAAGACAAATTCTCCGCAAAATCAGCACTCCAGCTTCTTTCTGCAATTCAAAAACACCAACTTGATTTGCTATGAGCAGTTGTTGTAACTTTGCAGTACCAATAAAAGAAATCTCTTACGTCCCAAAGTAACTGTGATCAATCTTATTCTACTCTACGGTCGCCAATTGAAGAGTTCAATGGATTGCAGACAGTCGAGTGATGTACCAGACCACCAAAAAAATTAAAGGGGCAGCAAGCAACAAGAAAGATAATAGCTATCATATTTGGGGACTGTCAGAGTATCCTCTTGATAGACTTATACAAAGAAAGAATAAACACAACCATTAATGAGGAACATTTATGAACATTTGGCATAGACTGGCAATAAAATTAAACGGCTTGGATTACTGACACATATAATTCATTTTCTCCATGATAATGTTCCTACACATTCAACTGTCGTTGTTAAAGAAGCAAAATAAGAAATGTGGGTTTAAGGTGTTTAACTATTCCTCTTAAGTCCAGATTTTATTCAAATAATTCTTAGCTGTGCTCTAAACTGAAATCTTTGACCTTTGGGAAAAAAGATTTAATGATGATAATAATACAGAAAGAACACTTTGAGACATTTTATCTGCAATCTCCCCAAATCGTATTAAAAAAACAGTCTGAAGCAAAAGTTTCGACGATTTATCAAAGAACGCTCGAGGCAGTTAGCCATAGGTACGTAACATGCAGAATTTTTTCGAGGAAATAAGTGTTTGAAATTTACTTTGTAATTTTTAATATAGATATTTTGAGTTTTTATGTATTTTTGCCTTCTCGCGAAGTGAGAACTGAATGAATTGAATCAGAAATATTCAATCGTCTGTGAAAAACTGTTTCTTTTTGTTTTGTTTGCTTAATCTTTATACTTCCTTCTAGTTATTATGTATTGAATAGAACATATGCACGATTAGATAATTCTATTCTTTAAATATAAATTTTGAGTTTTTGAACGAAATATAAACTGAAAATTATATACAGTTAACTTAGTTTCCGTTATATAATTATATAATACATCCATGTCTTGTCCTATAATTATATAATACATCCATGTCTTGTCCGGGATTCGAACCCGGGCACTTCTGTACAGCAGTCAGCGACGCTAAGAACTACACCGGCTGGGCTCCGTTTATCGCTTTATGAATGGTGATTACCTTTTTCCTTCCTTGTACGAAGTAAAAAGGAAGTATTGTAATCGCGAAAAGTTTCAGGCAGTTTTGACCGCTATCGAATGCAATTTAACGATGTTTTTGCGTCATATCTGTACGTAAGGACAGAAAAAAATACTCTTTCCCTTCAAAAAAGTTATAAAACTGCTTAAAATTAATTCTGAAGAGAATTTTCGTGGTGTCTGTAACGACGTATGTACATATCTCGCATAACTCAAAAACGAGTAGCCTCAGAACGTTGAAAGTTAATATAGGACTGCTATAACATGTAGATGTGCACCTCGTATTTTGGTTGCAATC